ATGGGGGGTGGGGGAGAACCCTCTGACAGAGGAGAGGGAAACTATTTTGGGCTCAGATTATTAGAGGTTGCCTACCATTGGGGTAGGAACTGGATCACAGAAAAATCCTACTTTCAAGACTGGGATCAACGCCACAGAGTCCCTTCTCACCTCCCTTAACCAGGAGAGCAAGCTCTGTGTAAAAAGCAACAGCACTCTGCCTCTAAGTGAGGGGCATAAGCATAGAGAAATTGAGTCAGAGGCAAAGGCATACTTGAAAGTCAGTCACTAAGAGTGGGTCAGGAACATTGAAGGAGATTCCTCTAGGAAACAGGTGTCTCCTTAACATGACTCAAGAGGAACTTGAAGATGATGGTGCACTAAGGTAACCTTAACAACCAAAGCCTCAATCCCAGTTCATCTCCTGACTAAATTTTTTTATTAAAAATTCTAATAAAAAAGAAAATAAGCCACTGTTAAGAGCCAAAGCAATCAATACGACCAAACTCAGATATAACAAGAATGTTGGAACTATCAGACAAGGAATTTAAAATAACTATGATTAATATGTTAAATGCTATAATGGAAATGCTAAAATTCATATATAGATGAGGAATTTTAGCATTCAGATGGGAATTTTAAGAAGGAATCACATAGAAATGCTAAAAATAAAAATAAAGACAAAGACTGCCTTCAGCGGGTTCTTAAGTAGACTCAACACAGCCAGCTGAAGACTCAGCACACTTGCAGATAGGCGAATGGAAGTTACCCAGTCTTCAACACAAAGACAAAAAGAGCAGGGAAAGGGAAAGAAACAAAACTAGCACATCAATACCTGTGGGAGACAATATCAAATAGACTAAAACATGTATAATTGAATCCCTGAAGGAGAAGAGTGAGAACAGGACAGAGAAATATTTGAAAAACTAATGGCTAAATTAAAAAAAAATTAGTAAAAGATATCAAACTACAGATTCAAGAAGCTCAGAACCTTGAGAAGGATGAATAATGAGAACAAGGGCTGGGGTTGTGGCTCAGTGGTAGAGTGCTCGCCTAGCACGCTTGAGGCACTGAGTTTGATCCTCAGCAGACATAAATGTAAAATACATTGTGTCCACTTAAAACTAAAAAATAAATATTAAAAAAAATAATAACAAACATTCAAGTTACTGAAAATCAAACATAAAAGAGAGAATCTTGAATGTTGAACGCAAAGAAAAGACCACCGACTCCAATTGAAATCAAATTAAAGCAAACTTGTAATTTCAACTGGCCGGGCAGGGATGAGCTATACTATTGTCATTTGAAAATTGGGGCTGTGGCTGTAGCTCAGTGGTAGTGTGCATGCTTGGTATATTTAAGACTCTGAGATCAATCCTAAACACCAAAACAAACTAAATAAAACAAACAAAAACAGACTGTGACTAATTAAAAATGTACATTGTAAGTCTAGGAGTAACCATTAATTTTTAAAAATTAAATAGTTTATAGTAGCGATAAAAAAGAAATTATATATTCAATCCAGTATCAAAAATAAGAGAATGTGAAATATCTCATTGTTAAAAATATTGCTTTTATATTGAACTGATATATGTATCAAAATTGAAAATCTAAAACACACTGGTATTTGAAGATAATATGGGAAAAAAGGTAAAATTCTCAGTCCAAAGGAGGCAAGGAGAGCCAGGTGCAGTGGTACACACCTGTAATCCCAGCAACTTGGGAGTCTGAGGCAAGAGGATCACAAGTTCAAGGCCCTAAACAATTTAGCAAGACCCTGTTTCAAAATAAAAAGTAAAAAAGGCTTAGTGGTTAAGTTCAATCTCTAGTTCAAAATAACCAACCAACCAACCAAACAACAACAAAAAAACCCCTAGAAAACAGAAAAACAAAACAAAAAAAGGAGGCAAGGAGAAAAGGAAGATAAAAGAAAAATGGAACAAAAAATATGAAACAAATATATTACAAGTAAGAAAAAGGTAATTTTTTAAAAAATCAGTTTTTATCATATAGCTCTTTATTTATTTTTATGTAGTGCTGAAGATCGAAATGATTGCAATACATCATGCACAAATTGATAGAAAGGAGAAGTAAATAAATCCACAGTTACAATTGGAGACTTTAATATTCCTTTTGCAATAATCAATAGAATTAGTAGACAGGGCAGGGCGCAGTGGTGCACGCCTGTAATCCCAGTGGCTCCTCGGGAGGCTGAGGCAGGAGGATCATGAGTTCCAAGCCAGCCTCAATGAAAGCAAGGTGCTAAGCAACTCAGTAAGACCCTGTCTCTAAATAAAATACAAATAGGGCTGGGGATGTGGCTCAGTGGCCGAGTGCTCCTAAATTCAAACCCTGGTTACCCCCACACCCTGCCCAACAAAAAAGGCCTTTTCTCCAATATGATTGCATGAAGGGTTAGAGCTTCAACATAGGAATTTGGGGTTGAGGACATGGCAACTTTAGCTTGCGTATGTATTTTATTATATGGTACCTTTTTCTTCCTCCACTAGATTTTGAGATCCTTAAGTGTGGGGAATTTTGCTAATTTATTTGTTCATCTCTAATACTTCATACACAATAAACACTCAATAAACATTTTAAATGAATAATTAGATGGAGTCATTCACTTCTGTGCTCATATCATAGATAATGGTATCACTGTGCATCTGTCTTCCCAAACTATAAATCTTTTTTTAAAATTTTAGTTGTAAGTGGACACAATACCTTTATTTTATCTATTTTATTTTTATATGGTGCTGAGGATCGAACCCAGTGCCTCACACATGCTAGGCAAGTGCCATACCACTGAGCTACAACCTGAGCCCCAGACTATAAATCTTAAGGTTTTTTTTTTTTAACTTTTTTCCTTTAATATTCTATGTTCAATGTATAGTTACTATCAAGATTTTACCTTCTAAAGGTTTTTCAAATCCATTCCTTCTCTGGCTCCAGGGGTACATCTTACCCTTCCTCATCTTACAATTTGTTTCAGTTGTTTCTTAAAGAGGCTTCTGTCTTCCAGTGTTTACCCATCCAACTCATACTTTGTTGCTAGATTAATCTTTCCAAAGTGCAGTCTAATGTATCACTTCCTTTTAGTATCTTTTCATAGCTTTAAGACTTACATCATTTTGTTGTTGTTGTTTTCTGGTACTAGGTATTGAAACCAGAGGCACTTTACCACTGAACTACATCCCCAGCTCTTTTTATTTTGAGGCAGTCTCACTAAGTTGCTTAGGCCTAGCTTGGTTGCTGAAGCTGACCTCAAATTTGTGATCCTCCTGCCTCAGCCTTCGGAGTCACTGGGATTGTAGGTGTGTTCCATTGCATTCAGCAGGACCTACATCTTTTTTTTTTTAAAGTATTTATTTTTTAGTTATAGGAGGACACAATATTTTATTTTTATGTGGTGCTGAGGATCAAACCCAATGCCTCACGCATGCTAGGCGAGCGTTCTACCTCTGAGCCCCAGCCCCAGCCCAGGACCTACATCTTAAATCTTAGCCCGTCAGAGTCCTTGTGACTGGCTCTGCCTATGCACTACTTCTTGATGCATTTCTTAAATACATGTTCCCATTTCATATCTTTTGCATGTGCATTACCCTCTTTCTGGAGTGCCTTTGCAACATGTCAATCTTATGATTTTTTTTTTCTTTTGGTGCTGGGGATTTAACCTGGGACCTCATGAATGCTAGGCAAGTGCACTACCATTGAGCTATACCCCCAGTTTTTTATTTTTATTTTGAGACAAGGTCTTATCAAGTTGTGCAGGCTGACTTCGTACTTGCAATACTCTTGCTCCAATCCCTCAAATAGCTGAAATTTCAGGCATGTGCCATGATGCATGTTGTAGTTGATTTTTATATTCTCAAAATCTAATGTGTAGAAGGTACTCAATTAATGTTTAGTGAATGAATGAATCAGTTATATGATTTTATACCAGAAGTAAATATATATTCACAACTGCCATGTTCCAGATGCTGGAAAATCATAGCATGTATGTTATGATAATGGGTAGTTTTTGAAGAAAAACTCCCTCATACTCTTATTTTAAACCCCTTCCCAGAATTGTTGCTGTTGTTTTGATGGGTGTCAGCATCTTAAGGAAGTTAAGAAGTTGTGTGTACATGAAATTGCAGTATAGATTTTAATAAAAGTTTTTGATCCTTATGACAAAAGTTTCTGATTGGTCTTTTCTCCTAGTCTCAATTATAAGTACAATTATAAGTACTCATTAATTAACTGTACTTTTTAAAAAATATTTATTTATTTTTTAGGTGTAGATGGACACAACACAATGCCTTTATTTTTATGTGGTGCTGAGAATCGAATCCGGGTCCCGCCCATGCTAGGGGAGTGCTCTACCGCTGAGCCACAATCCCAGCCCTAATTGTACTTTTTCTGAAGTACCTTTTTAAAGGATAGAGACAAGTTTGGAACCTGAGTTAAAGTCCGCAGGTCCAACACATACAGATTATAGTTAAGAGTTAAAGTACTTTTAAAACAAGAATCACAGACCTCTTGGAATCTGAGTTTCTAAACTGCCTTTGCCTCTGTGGTTCTTGTTCCTGTTGTGTGTGTGTGTGTGTGTGTGTGTGTGTGTGTGTGTTACGAATCACATGAGTATTCTCTACTACTAACTGGCTGTAGCAGAATTTGCAGGTCCTGCTGTGTATGTCTACACTGACTCAGCTGAACTCTTGCTGGGCTTCTCTGTCTGCTTTTGATCTTTAGCAACAGTGCCTGTCAGATCAGTTGCAGTTCCCCTGCTATAAATACCTGGAATGGTTGAGAAATGATGGTCCTTGTGATAATGATCATGCCTGAAGCACCTCTTTTCCTCATGGTTCTAGTGGTGACTTCCTTTGGATCTTGTCCTATGGACATGGCATCTAGCAAGACTGTGAGAGCTTTGCTGTGACCTCATGCAGCCTCATTCTCCTGAGACATTTTGCGTAACTAAGTGAGGGGTGTTATGGAACAAATTGAATGTCCTAACCACAGAGTCTCTTTGATTGCAGAATTGCCTCACTCACAGAGTTCTCCAGCTGTGAGCAGCACCTGCACAAAAGTGCTCTATTTCACTGACCGGTCACTTACACCCTTCATGGTCAATATACCAAAGAGGTGAGATGCTGTGATTATCTTTTTCTTTTTCTTTTTGTAAAATAAATAGGAAGGGCAGAACCATTGGTTTCTGCCCAAATGAACAGTTGAAAGGTGTTTAGAAAGCCACACGTCTATGAAGAAGAGCCCAGGAGATTCAAGTGCCAACTTTGTCACTAACCAGTAGCATTATAAAGGACAAATCATGATCTACTCCTAGATAGTTATTACAGTACTTCCAATCCTGGTAATAATGCAAGTATGTTCCAGGTTTGGAAACATGTTTTTTAAGTGTTCAAAATTGGTCTGCTGAAAGACAGGGACTGTGTCTGGCTTTTACTCACTGATCTTTGTTACTATTTAATGAGTGCAACTAATCCACATTGAGAATTTATGTTGAAAGCTTTCCAAAAACTCAGTTAATATACTTCCTCCTATGATAATATAGATTTTAAAAATCTGGAGCCAAGTACTGAGAAGTTATGGAATTTTTCCTTCCCAGAGAATCTAGTTATCTGATCTGGGTTGAAAGACAGCTTTCTAAAGCTAGACAGATAAAGATAATGATACCTGATTTAATTCTACCAGCCTAGGGAACTGGAATATTGTAGAAAAGAAGGAAATCAAGAGAGCTTAAGCATGTTTATAGTTATTTCACAAATTTGATTTCAGAGACCTTATGTCTTATTTCCAAAGAAAAACAGAAAAGTGATCTGGCTACTGCTGACGCAGTAAATCTACTTTAAATTCTCAGCTCACTGGATTTTTAATGCTATTTTCATGTCCTAGTGGTGACTGGTTTCCTAACTTCTGCTATTTTAGAGTTATCTTGGTTTCCAGGGGCAGTGACCTCATAAGGTCATGCTGTTTCTGCCTGTTGACTTTGGCATGGGCCTGGTTTAAAGCTAACACCTTATCTTTCCAACCCATTATTTTGTTGATACTCTCCTTTTATTGCAGGTTGGGAGAAGTGACTTTGAAGGATTTTAAAGCAGCTATTGATCGGGATGGGAATCATCGGTATCACTTCAAAGCATTGGATCCTGAGTTTGGCACTGTCAAAGAGGAGGTACAGAATCCATGGGGAATCTGGGTAGTATTACTGGTCATACTAGAACTCCACAACCTCCTGTTTAAGGACTAGTACTCATGAGTACCTAAATTCCCTAATCTGGTCAGAGGAACTTTCTGGCACCTTTGGCCTAATAAAGTCATAGAATGGCCAAGATGATAGCTTCTTCAGTTCTAGAACTTGATCATCTTGACTGAGACTTTGGATAGTATTTTTATTTTGAAAAGGAAAAGGTTTTATTTTGTTAGGGAAAATAAAAACCTCAAGACAATAAAATAAAGACTTTTCTAGCTGTAGCTGCATCTTAGATTTTTTTCCTACATCGAACAAAATAAATAAACAGGCACAAAGACTCAGAACTATATATTATGTGGTGGAGGTTTCTCCTAGTGAGAACAAAGAACTTCTGGATAGCCATCTATGCTGATTTCCAACTCCTTGGGTATTTTTTTTATCCTATGCCTCTCTTTATAATCCATTTGCCAAATATAGCCATTTTGGGGGAAGATAATTCTGGGTTCTGCTGTATTATTATTGCAAATACCTTTACTGTAGTTACAGAATGAAAAAGTTGGAAAACCTAATGTTTTGCAAAGGTTCCTCACTTAAATAAATGTTTTAATACCCTGTTTTATTAATTTTGTTAGTGGCTTAGGAAATGAATTGAATAAATGAATGAAAAGAACTGTGTCTCAGAGTTGGTCTTCTTTCCAACCCTTTCTTCACAATGTCCAATACCAAAATTTTTCCCTTTCTCATTTTAAAAATGTGTCTACTGCTGCTTTGTCCTAAGAAGCCCAGAGTAGTCTGTGATTCACAATTCATTAATTCTTATAAATCTCTGAACAAAGCAGCATTAGGGATTTTTTAAAAGCCATTTCATAAATGTGGAACTAAGGCAAAACAAACAAACAAACAAACAAATAAAATACCAGTTGCAACATCAGGGACAAAACCAAAGAGAAATAAACACTCAAGCTTCCTTTTACATTTTTTTTTCTTTTGCAGTACTAGGGATTGAACCCCTAGGTGCTCACCACTGAGGTACATCCCCAGCCTGTTTTTATTTATTTATTTTATTGGTACTAGGAATTGAATCCAGAGGCACTTTACCACTGAGCTACATTTCCAGTCTTTTTTATTTTTTGAGACAGAGTCTCACAAAGTTGCTGAGGCTGGCCTCAAATTTTCAGCCCTCCTGCCTCAGCCTCCCAAGTCATTGAGATTAATGTTCTACAATTCCCAGTGTTGCTTCTATACTCTATCCCTAATGATTGCATTCTTTTATCAGCAGCAGTTGTTTAGTGAAACTACCTACCATACTCTGTATTTTTTTTCACTGTGGCTTTTTTGTTTACCTAGGTTTTTCATGATGATGATGCCATCCCAGGATGGGAAGGGAAAATTGTAGCCTGGGTGGAAGAAGACCATGGAGAGAATTAATGCCGAGTATTGGAACCTGGTCACTCCTGGCTGCTTCACTCAGGAAAGGGGACTTAAACCAGAGTACATTAAGAAGTTTCTAATTTGTGCTGCCAAAACAGAAGCTTCTCCAAGTATGATGGTTATCTGCTAGACCTGTTTCTGTGCCTGGCATGTCTGGTACTTAAAATCCCTGTCCATATGTGGACCATGGGTTCATCTGGAGTTCCTTGTCCATGGGAAGTGTTTTGTTCACTCTGAGGATAACAAACCGAAGGCCTTAACCAATGGGGATGGATGATCCCGCTCCTGTAGGGGCATGGCTGCTATTATCTGGAACCTAGGAATTGGATGCATTACTCCTGTGTGTTACAGTATTAATTTAATTGGCCTCAATGGTTGCAGCAATCAGAGTCCCAGCATTGTACTCACAGACAAGGCAAAGGTACCAACTTTTCTGCTTCTTTGCAGATACCACAAACCAAGAATAACTCGTGAGGTGGTACCAAAGATGAAAGCCCACTCTTCAATAATTGTTTGAACTGGACATGGATGGTGCTGAATTTTTGATTGGATGGAAAAAGGGCTGCCCCAAATTGTGCTATTCTATTCTAAAACCATAATTAAGACCTTGGGCTGCCTCTTCTGGTCTTATCTGGTTCTGCATCTTGTCGTTCAGCCCACATAGGGCATATTTCATGTACTGCTAGTTTTCTCTGGGGACTCTTAAACTTTAGAGCCATTTATTTTTCTTCCAACAGATGAACTTTGTTTTTGAAAAGAATAAGGAGTGAAAGGCTCCTTAAAAATCCAGGCGGGTATGGAAAGGTGCTGCTACCCATATCTTCTTGACTTTGTCTCATGACTTTCTTTAACTCATAACATCATCTTTGCAGTTAAGAGGAGACAGACCATTAATTTCAGTGTTTCTTTGTGATTTATGCGTATTGAACATGAATTACTGGTCTGCCCCTCATTTCAAGGCTAGAGTTATTTTCTACTATACATTTAGTCTAGGCTGATCCTCTAGGGCATAATAGAAACCATGGGGCATGGAGCATGAGTTGTAAATGGGAAAGTTGATTCAGGGTGAAGAAACCTAGAATCATTTCGCATATGCAACACTGTCAAGTGTAGAAGCTACAAGTGTTCAATTTTCAGAGTTTATTTAACAACCTGAATTTTCTCATTCATCCACCAGTACCATCAACCACTCAGCCATTATTCATATATATACACACATATACATATGTGTGTATACATATATATATGTATATATATATACATATATATGTATATTAAATACACACACACACACACACACACACACACCACACAACTTCCAAAAGCAGTCTGAACCACCAATGTACACTGCCAAATAGAAGAGTAGAACAGATCTCAGTTCTGGGTTCTTGACCTGTGTCCAATTCATCTCCCCTTTTCAGCCACTTGAACAGACTACTCTTGGAACTCTTGAAATAACATCTTGTTTTATATAGATGTGTCTTTTAAAAATAGTTCATGTTTGGAGAATTCTTTTGTACTCATTTGTTTTTTGTCTGAGAACCATGTCTATTTTTATAACTCAAGTGTGAGTTCTATATACTCTCACATTCTGTATACTGTGTCGCATTTTCTAGAGAACCCAGTAGCTTTTATACAGTCTCTTCTTACACCTCTGTGGTTTCAGAACAAACTTAATTTTATTACAATTACACTAATGGCCACTAATTCCTGTCCGATTCTACTTGCTATTTTAGTTATGGAGGTAGTTCTGTGTAATCCAGTTTATTACTCTTCTAGCAGATAGACAGAGTTCAAAAGGCATCAGGTCTTTGTGTAAGCTTACCTGGTCTTCTATTAAAGAATGATTTTTTTCGTCAGAAATAACTGGGAAAGTTTGGGAAAGCCAGCCATAGCAGTAATAATTCATTATGAAAGCAAACAGAAGAAAACAGTATATTTTCAGGTTTTTTTTCCTCCTCCCCCAAGAAGTCTGGAAAAAGTTCTTAAGTCACCAGTTTCTCTGTTGCATGAATTTTAGTGTTTTGCTCTATGACAGCATGAGGGTTATCAGGCCAAAAGTTTGTTACTGTATTTACAGTAAATTTATCTTGAATGTCTGTCTCTTAAATCAGTTTTTACTTGTTTTTTTTCAGTGAACAGTCTTACCATTATGTGGATTTTTAACTTTTCAGGAAAATTAAATCAGAAAAATTTCAGTCCTCTACTTTTGTGTTTTATCTCTTTTTTGAAAAGGAGCTATATGGCCTTCATCCCTCCATAAAGAGTGTAATTTGAATTCAGGGGAGAACACAAAAGATAACTTCCCAACCTTTAGCTCATGTACCATGGATAATGACTAAGCATCCTACTGGAGGACATCACTTTCATAACTTTGTGAATTGTTGTGGTAATCATTCTGGTTTCTAAAGTGAGAGGAGCTTCTGAGCAGGTATAGGCATTGATTCATTGTATTTCAATAGACTTCTATTTGGCGGCATTCTAGGGGGCCTTGTGACTTATGTATAGTGTTGTCCTCTAGTGCTACTGGGATAGACCATCCCGCTACTGCTGAAGTTCTCTTTTCATTAGAAAAAGTGAAGAACTAGAATGTTTATAGAGTTCATAATTTCTAAACCATGTTTGGTTAAAAACAAAACTAGTTGAGAGCTCAGTTCTTTAAAAAAAAGTCATTTAAAAACTGAAGACTGGTTCTCTTCTTGGTTCATTCCCTAAATTAGCTGGGATTAGAACACGTCACAATTTGTACCTAAAGAATTTGGTTTAAATACACTTGGTAATGGTAATCCTACTTATGAACTTTTCAGCTCTTTTTGACTGAGATGGTCGTAAGGGAAAATATCTTTATGTTCTACATCCAATCTAAGAGGACTATACTTAAAAGCATTTGTTGATTAAAATTATTTTCATTTTTTTCCATTAAATAAGTATTATGATTGCACACTCCTTCAATTGTCTGAATTTATGTAAGAGGTATAGCTTGCTTAAAATGCATATATATGTAAAATTATATTTTCTTAGAAACATGGACGTTTGCAACCATTGCTTTCAAAGAGATTATTATTGTGTATTCTCCATTTTACAGTGTTTTCATGAAAACTATGTTATACCAGCAGCTTCTGATTATTAATAACCAGTTTTAACTGCCTGTACCAGATTTGTGAATTAAAACACACACACACAGAGAATAAAATGGAGTTTGCAAACAAAATCCCATCAATCATTTTCATTTATTGACTGAGATTAATCATAAAGCCATTACATTTAGTGAAGGCAGATTTCCTCAAGTGTTCTCCCTGGTAGCATGTTTACTCATTATCTGGAGAGTAGAGATGAAGATTACTTTATTGCTACAGATAGTTTACTACTGGTATTTCTAATTAAGCACAAAATTATGATCAGAGGATTATGTAATTTTGCTCTTCTTTTGAAATTATATGTAAATACACAAATACACTTATTTATTTATTTTGGGTGGTACTGAGAATCAAACTAAGGGCCTCACATATGCTGGCAAGTGCTTTACTACTAAGCAACATCCTCAGACTGTAAAAGTAAAAATAAAAGCCTCAGAGAGACAAAAGAAGTCTCTAATTTGCAAATACAAACACTAAGGAAAGATTCAGAGATTTCTTTTTTGGTGCTGAGAAATGAACCCAGAACACTATATGCTATTCCACTAAACTACACCCCTCCAGCCAAAAATGTGTATTTACTTATCATTTTCAGATGATAAGTAACCCTAACCCTAACCCTAACTGTCTTACCTGGGCTAGTTTCCACCTCTTGGTGGGCTCAAGTGTGAATCTTGTGAATGGCAGACTACAGGTCAGCACCAAGACCCAGGCAGAAACATGTAGTTAAAAGAACTAGAATTTCCAAATCAGTCTGAAAGCTTCAAAATTTAAGTAGGCTCTATTTAGCACTGCAGTTTAAATGTGTGATAAATCTAAACCTTTAGCCTTGAGTGTTTTTGTTTGGCTTTTTTTTTTGGGGGGGGGGAGGGTAACTTATGATTGAACCCAGGTGTGCTTAACCATGAGTCATATCTCCAGCCCTTTTTATTTTTTATTTTGAGGTAGGGTCTCAGTAAGTTGCTTAGGGCCTCACTAAATTGCTGAGCTGGCCTCAAACTTGCAATCCTGCCTCAGCCTTTTGAGTTATAGGGATTAGAGGCATGGGCCACCCCACCATGCTTGGCCTGAGTACATACTTTTAACTATTAATTGGCTATCCCATCATTATGTTACTGTTAAATATGTTCAAAACAATTCAGAATATTTCAGTACTAACTAACATCTCTTTCCATCTACCTACTTTGTATCAGTGATATTTCCATTTAGGACTTTTTGAGTCTTTTAGTTTTCAATTTTCTTTATCCAATCTGTTTAGGCAACTCCAGGCTGTTCTTTTAGGACTTGAAAACAAAATTCCATTAATCAAATTCCTAATTCTAGGATCAACTTGCTACCCCTGGACTATTTAAGCTGTGCTCTCTTACAATTTAGCTATACCGAAATGTAAAGTACATTCAAAATGCAAACTATTGTTGAAAAATGCAAAACAAGGTTTATGCAAGCCTACTCAAGTGAACAGTAAAACTGCAGATCACCTTATACTTTATAAAAAAGGCTTAGAACCAACCTTTAAAATGCAGTGGAAGTAGCAAGATATTTTAGTCAATTAAAAATAGTTTCAGCATTTTTATAACCACTTATTAAGTTACAGTATAAGCCATTTCATCAATTAATCTTCCATTGCTTCTTCCAATTGTTACTCATAAGTAAAAATTTTACAAAATTACTACTCAATTTTAATTATTTCAAACATGCATTTTCATTTAATCTGGAAATTTTATTTCTCAGTTATGATGTCTACATAAAATTGTTGGGCAGTTGTGCCTGCTTAAACATTCCTAATTTAAGTAGGTACGAAATAGTCTCACGAGGCTTTCTTTGTTATTATTCCAAATTAATTATCAGGGAAGTTGAATGCTTTCAGACATTGATTTCCCCCCAATTTCTTCTTGTGTTCTTGGCGTTCCCTGACCATGTGTACAATGGGGACTTCCTCCCAATGTCATCTTCAGCTAAGAAATAATGAGCTGTTTTCTAATTATGAAATAACTGTACAATAGAGGTGTACCTAACAAATTGTGTACATAAGTCTTCGTTCATTAATTCAAAAATGCATTTAGCACCCACTATTTACCAGGTACTATATATACTATAACTCTGAAGATGGCGAAGAACAGTACAAAGATTCCTGCCCCCACTGGGATAATTTGGTTTTGACATGAAATACACTCATGAGCCACATAACGGTGTTTGGTTAATCTACCAAATATATGATGGCGAGCCCTTAAGATTATATCGCCTAGTGACATTGTAGCACTCTGTTCACACAACCACAAAATAGACTAACAATAAATTTCTCATGATTGCACCTTAAAGGAAGGCTTTTTGGCTATTTAAAGGAATTCTGTGGTGATTAGGAGGTAACACAAATCTGTTTTGCAAACTTGTTAAAATCTTCATACAGGAAGTAGGTTTAATCCTACTAGAGTACATTTGACTGTGGGAATGTGCCTTCCGCCTGGCTGCCCTTCACACCACCTGGCTGGAAAACCTGGTACTGCCGTGTCCGGAGGGGCTACAAACCTGAAATTAAATCTTTGTAACCTAGTTCAGCCCGCACAGGGCGAGGCCCCAAGCCGGGTCAC